CTGATGATTTTAGATACAAAAAAATATACTGTAAAATGACGTAGCTGAACTTGTTTCCCTGTAAAACTGCGGAATTTTGATGCGTTTATTCATGTATGCGATGTTGTTTTTATGACACGTTCGAAAGCGTTTGTGGAATGCATACCTATACTTTTTCACCGTATCTATTAAAATGTATTGCAAAGATATGCCCTTTATTTTCTTGTTTAAGAAAACAACAAACTTAATCACATAACGTGTTAAGTTACGTTGAAAGTTTAACGGAATTGCGTTCCTTTATTAGTGAGAATCTAGAATAATCTCATACAAAAAATCTCTCCAAGTTCGTTTCCAACTTCGCGTGCTGATAGCCACTGTGATAGGTTGAAATAATGGCTAATTTGCAAGCATTCTACGAACAAACGAACAATACTATATTTATAAATCAGATTGTTAACGTACTTTTTATCGTCGAGTTATCCTAGAAACAAAAGAAAATCTGAATTATATTTTTTACAAAACAAAACACTGACTATATTTACTTAAAAAATAAGAATGATTCCCGTCTCGTATTTGCTTACGTCATAAAAGACGTACCTTAAGAACGTTGCCTCAAATCTCTGTCACCCTTTGAATGGGGAGCAAATAGAGTCGCCCCGAAGAGTTCCACACTCGAAGTGAAGCTCACTCGAGCTCTCGTTAAGTGTTTAGCAGACTGTGTAAACACGCCTTTCGCATTTATTGCACACGTCTTGTAGATGAAAACAGTACAGTTACAAAAAGCTAGTTGAGTTCAAAGAAAAAGTTTATTCAAAGGCAATTTGAATTCTCCGAGCATTCAATGTGGTGAAGTATAAGAACACTTTCAAATTAGACGTTTTGAGCCGGACGTTTGTCGTGCGTTTCAGGACCGCACACGGTAAATTGTATGACAACTGCGTCGGAATAAAACTGACAATTACCAATAGTTAGTGTGCGGTCTTGCAAACGCACGCAACAGACGGACGCGGACGTCCTGCTAAAACGTCTAATTTGAAAGAACCGCCACCTGATTTTATATTCTTCATTGTTTAATTAACTAAAATCCACAAACTAATAATTGACACAGACAGTCCTGTTCTAAATTAAACCCAAACCTTAAAAGTTGTTCTCAATCTTATATCTATTAGTAGAAATCTAATAAACCATTAAAGTCATCACAAACCAAATATAAACATACTTTTTGTGTTCCGTAATTGGATACCATAGAAACGATAATATGAAATCAGAAATAACTGTAGCTCTTACAAAGAGAGGCCAAAGAAAGTTGTTTCAAGGAGCGATCATCCTCGAACTCGAGTTCACTTCACTCCAAGTGTAATGTGTAAATACGCCGCCTCATCCACAACGGATTGATTAGATAGATAATATTTTCATTAGGAAGGGAACGGATGAAAAAGTTTGGTAATTAAACGAAAGCTCATAACGAAGTGTGTTACCCATGGATTGTCTCAACTTGAGTGTTATTCGGAGCGTATGGCACTTTGCAACGTCTCATGAAAACACTCATCTTTCTTTGGTAGAAAAACTAATTTTGAACATAATTCATACGTTTTGTTAAGACAAAAACTGAAAAACTCGTAGCGAGATTTGTATCAGCACGTTGGTGTAATACAATATTAAACGGAATGACTGCAAAAGAAAACGCGTCGCTGCTCTGCAAACGGCTTCCGAAGCAAACTGGCGATAAATAAACAGCAACAATCACCATAGCGCTCTTGTAAGAGCTCCAGCCCCATGCAGAATTCCCTGTGTACCGCTAAACGGCGGAACGTAGCAAAAAACGAATAAACAACTTTTCTAACGCTCAACTAGATTTTCTTCTCTCCCCAATGCTCTGGGGATGTCCCGACACGAATAGGTATTACATTTCACGCTTCTGCTTTTCTCTTTACATATTTTACTGGATATCTCTGGATAATTACAAGACGAGCATTACTAGATTGGTCTAGAGAGGATAATAACATGCTAAATACATAGTTTTATTTGTTTAAAGCGGCTTCTGTTTAATTTCATTATATTATTTCATATTGTAGAGATAAAAACGTAATCGACACAAAAAAAATCCACTGCACTCGAACAATTTTATGATAATATTCTCACTGGAACTACAGACATTTTCCTACTTGTCTCATTATTTAAGAATTAATGTACAACATAAACTTCGAAATTTATTTCACGATAGTTAAAACACTAACGGTAAACTCAGAATCCGCGTCGGATTTATTTTATTTTCCGTAATGAACTCAATTTGTGTAAGTCTATTAACGGGGCCGACTCAAACTTTTCCAATAACGTAGAGTCTACTTCCTGTTCGGAAATCAACCGATTTATTTCACGATGTCTTAATCTATAGTTCATCCCTGGAACGTTATAGTGTTTTTCGAGGGTGGTAAATGTTTACACTCATTTTCATGTTGTTTACTAAAGCTCTTTTTGATATACAGGTTTGTTATATTTTTCACTTAATGATTATGTTATTGTGTACCATAATAGATTAGAATTCTAATAAGTATGTAGTAACACAGTGGTTTCTTCAGAACTATTTATTTTTGATGATTGTTGATTGTTTGAAGATTGTTGATGTTCATTGTCACTTTTAAAGTAATATAAATGGTTTTCAAATAAATTTCATAGAAAAATTAGATCAACAAACGTTGGTAAACACCAAAGGTTACCCTAATAAGGTGCTTTGTACATAATAATTAGGTCTGAAATAATTTTAACCAATAGAATTGCGTAAGGTGAATAAAAAAGAAATTTATTTTTCATCTTATTGCGGTATCCAATCTAAAGGTAAGGACACTGTGATGAAACTCGATTAAATTAAGTTACTACGCGAAAAAGAGAGCAATTTCGATTCTCATAGAATTCAAATGAGCTTTTTATTCAAACACGAGAGTGGAAACACTAAAACAGACGGTTTCAGTCCATTGCATAAGATTTAAACGCCAACGCACCTTTATGTCGACTTATCTTCGGAAAAGAATGAGAATTCGGCAATTTCAAAGCTTCATTACCCTATTGTATTGCGATTAGCTACGTATCTCTTTAAATTGAAACCTTTTGTATGCCATTTTATGAAGATTGAAGCCTGTTTTACTGAGGTGAAGCGAGTTTAACTTATTCTCGCTGTCATACCGGGCTGCATGCATAAGCAAAGTTTTAATGATGTGCTTGTTAACCACAACAAATAAGGTACTTGATACAAATAAGGCCTACGTTCTAATAAGGCCTATACATCAGAAAACACAGATAAATAAATCCAACCGGGATAATACTTCAAGGACACGTACTCATATGCCCTACAACCCGGTAGAGTGCAAGAGCGTCCCGATCCACGATCCCAGCACCAATTGGCACGCGTTCTTCTAAGGTCGTGGGTGATTTCATGCTCTCTTATAAAAATCTGGCGATTTCATCTTAAATTTTCGGTAAAATAACGCTGTTTTAGATTAAGCTTTTCTTAGTAATCGTTTCTAAATATTTCTTACTAGCTAATAATTACCTTAATTTGTACTACTGGCTATAGATGCATTATTTGTAANGACTGCTTTTGGTGGTATCATAAAGATTGTGTAGGAGTTCGTAAAGATGATTCAGAAGCCTTTTTATGCCCTGGTTCTAACAAAAATTGAGATCTCATTTTGTTTACAAAAAATCAAGACTAAATGATGTTCCTAAACTGATTTATTTAAAAGGTTTTATGTGTAGGCCTTATTCGAACACGGTGTTTTAATAAGCCCTATACAAAAAAATAATATTGTTTGTTTTTGATATTTTTTTTGATAATTTAAGTAAGGAATCATTACTTTGTTACTATGAATATTTAATTTTATCTATAATTTATGTATTATTCTTAATAAGTGGAATTTAAGTTTTTCTAAAGATATACAGTATATTTATGTTTACTTGGTATGTAAAATTTTGATAACGCAAACAAATCGACGTGTTTAATGTTATAAGACCGCATTTTGTGTAATACAACCTCAATTTTAAGGTCTACAGGCATTTGAATCATATAGGCCTTATTCCGTGTAGGTGATTTAATAAAGCCAAAATTAGTGGTTTCGTAATTTGCTTATTTTGAATAGATTTAGTTAAAAATTGTGTTATTTTTTGTAATATTGCTAAAATTAAAGGATGGAAGAAGTTAATTAACCTTGTTTTTGTTGACTGGCGTTAATATTTATTGAAATATAAGCATTTAAAGTTAGGTAGGCCTTATTTGTATCAAGTACCTTAGTGTTTATAATTGCAACGTGGGCAAAGCAATAATTTGTTGAGTACATTTAGGTGTATGATTTTATTTTAGTATCCTTGTACAATATAAGCTTTGTAAACAGATTTTGAGGTGTATTTTTGCTGTTTTTATAGCTCTCATATTAATTTGTGACTAAGAACAGAAGACAAACTATTTTGTAGAGTCGAATCCCGAGAGTTATTCTTTTATTTTAGGTTGTTCCTTGCAATGTTTAAAAATACCTTCGTAGTTTACATGACCAAAGGATTGAAATAAAAATAAGGTTTATAATTTATTCAAATAATTATTTTAATTCTAATAGATCTTACAAGAAGCCAGGCGATATACATACATATATTTCATGTTAATGAAATATTCTTAATTTTACATTGGTAGCAAGGAATAATTACATACCTAGTCACTATATTCATTATTTAAAGCCATAGACGCCTTAGAGCAGTAGTGTACGATAAGAAGTACAGTCATAAACAAATATCTTTCCTAATCTATGCCGAATAATGATATAATTTGATATGATTTTGGTTTCTAAGATATTATTAGAACAAATCTTACAGTACTCAAAATACGCTTTTTATTTATATGAGTCTTAAGATATGTCTGACATACCAAATAAAGTTAAAAATTGATCATTTTTATTCAATTTGCTATAATTTAATAAACATTTTTATAGAATAAAGTAAAAATAATTGATAACACTTAAAAATAATGAAGGCCCACCTATAACATTAAATGACATAATAATATTTGTAGTATTAATATGGAAACATTTAATTATATGTTTTAAGGATACAAAATACCTTACTCGAGAAACATTGTATATTTATATTTACTTACTCGTAGATTTTAGCTATTTCTACAGGTATATTTTTCTACATTACTTACAAATTATTGACAGCGAGACCGATGTTTTGGTACAATCTATCCGAAAATATGTATGTCCTACCTAGACATAGGCCTTTATAATATCAAATATAACTGTTTCATTAAACTTAACCATCACAATAACTACTTTAAGCATAAATTTCATAGTTTTAGGTAAGTTACAGCAGCAACGGGTCGCATTTGTACTCGTCTAAAAGTACTTTAGTACCGTTAAGCAAGATATAAATAGGACTGTACAAAAGTTATATACAATTGACTTACAGGTTGTTATTCATTTAAAACTATGTCTACATTGAAACTAATAAAATTAGTGTACACGAATGCCTACCGACAGCGAGCCGCCGCTCGCAGTTCAATATTGTGTCCAGCTTTTGGCTGAAAGAGAAATAAAACAATTAATGAACTTACACGATTTTAGAGTAAGACTTTCGTAGTCGACATTCGTAGACAGACAGTAAATATGTATTTAGAATTAATAATGTACTAATTAAGGTACATTATAATTAGGTAAGCAGTTGAAACTTAATTTCACGAAGAGTTGAATCTAAAACATTTGGCGCTAACTGTCAACTTAACTAAAATAATGTCAAGTTAATAACATGATCGCTATAGTCTACTCAAAAGCCCGCTACGACTGTTAATATCGTAACTCATAAAATTCGAGTTCGCAATAAGTTCAAAGAAACATACCTTTGTAATGCATGTCTCGGTGCATGCTCGGGCAAGTCTTCCCGGGGTACTGAAATTTAGATATTAGTGAGTAATGAATTCAGTGGGTTTGACGGCCGATTTTGATCTTTATAGTTGGTTGTTAGGGTAGGTATTACCTTGCTGAGGTCGAAGTCGATGTTGGTCCGCACGGCGCGGTGGTGGAGCGGCTGGGGCGGCCTGAAGTTGTTCCCGAGAGGAGCCTTGGGGTGCCGCGCGTCGCCCTGCATGAGTCGCCGCAGCCCGTGGAGCTGCGCCAAAGAGTTTAAACTTAAGGTGGTCGCACGCTTGCCGGGCCGAACGAATGCAATTTATTTCAGTTTTCTCGTGGAAAATTGCGAGAAAGATTCTAGTTTCTTTAGAAAATATCATTTTTTAGGCGAAATCAAATGCTAAATCAGAATTCAATTAAGATTTAAAAAAAATACCAATGTGAAAACACCCTCTTTATAGAATCGACCGAGCCAGAATCATAACATGACGTGGGGAAAAATAAGCTGAATTGGCTCTATATTTATGAAATACAATAATTCATAACTGCATATAAAAATATTGCAAAACAAACCCGTGCAAGAATTTAAGAAGCTACTCGAAATTTTAGGGATTTTCGTACGTTACAAATTCTTTCGGCAATTCCTCTAATTCGGCATGAATAAGTGTGCGATCACCTTAAGACTAATTTAAAATGTACGCAAAACTTACAACACGTAGCATTTTTATTAAGTTCACAATTTAAATGTTGATCCAGCAGAAACGAAATATCGATACCTCTGGGCTCAAAGGTCGTAAAGGACAAAATACCGAAAATGAGTTTTTTATACAGTTGTACTCAGAATTTAATTCTCTATCGATCTGTATATTTAGTTTGTCGAAATTCTCAAAAAAAGTGCCTTTACGACCCATCATATTTGATAAGCTAAACAGAATTCATCGTGAAAATTGGGATGTAAATACCATTTGATTTTTTAGTACAGTTAGCAGGGTAGTAAAGAACAAGTAAACACAAATTTTTGGGCGTATAATGTACATGTAGTATAATCTATTGTCCTATACAACCCAAATTTTCATACCAAAGTCTAAATAATTTGTCCTTTACGCCCTTAGATTATCTAAACAAATATTTTAAAAATCTACAAAGAGGGGATATTAAAACAACTGAGTAGGTAAATTTTATAGACGTTTCATATTGTATTTAAGTATGTGCGTTTAGAACAAACGAAAGAACTAAAAAATCATCAAAAATATGTAATAAAACTATTTTAGAGTGTAACGATTATGTGATTTGTACATTAAAAAATGATGACATCTATCCACATCGGGTAAAGTAATGAAGCTTTTTATTATTTCTCATATTTGACGAAACTAGGTATTTGTCAGGTAAAAGATAATTAAAAGATGATATAACAAAATGAAAACATGCTATAAAATAACGTATTACCTAATTAAGTTAGGATTGTCATCATACAAATTTGAAAAATGAAAAAGCTAGATGAGAAAAAGGAGTCACCTTACTGTAGTACCATAAGGTGTCATTATTACACGATTGCAGAAGGAGGGTTATGTTTTTCGATTGTATGTATGTTTTGTATGCATAAATCACACAAATGCTACGCTTTACAATTCTTTTTAATGATTTCCTAGTAATTTTGACTAACGTTCGTTTGAGTTTTGACTGTAACAATTATAATAAATAAGTCTAGTTTCTAAAGTTATTTGGATCAGCTAATAAAGTATAACTAGTAGGAAAAATATTTACGCTTAACATGGGAAAATATGTACTATAGTGTCAGTTGAAACTTAATGTACTAAAAAGCGTGAATGCACTTTTTTTCGAAGTTATATTTTTATATTAAAAATAATTGGCTTTTAAAAACTGTATTATGTAAGAGTAAAGTAAGTGGATATACTTTACTGGAATGAAAAACTTCCTACTAGTAATCTTACTTACCTAACATTTCTACTTTTGTACCAAGTACAATGACATAATTTCAAGCTATTATGAATAACAATGTTTAATCTATTAAGAATAATCATAGTTTGGTTTTCGTTTGTCCTTAATAATTCTATCTTATCTGCAGTATCATAAGGTCAACTGGTTGACAGACTGCCCTATAGAATTAAGTCCGCCATTTGTAGTTTTTCGAAACAATAATAATGATTAAATAAATAAATAAAATTAAATTGGTTTCGGCTTTTCGTGTAAAGTAGACATTATTATGAAGTTTTATTAAAAAACGTCATAATATTTATTTTCTAAAATCGCTTTTATTTCGGAAATGGTATCTTCTAGTTCGAAGATATCAAAACTTCTGCTTGCTTAAATAATAGTTTCATAAATTGTGTGCATTAAATTTTGAAACCACGAAAAATCATTTGATTTCATTTAAAATACTATAGTTCATTAAAAATATGTGAAGAAATGGTATATTACATATCAAATACCATAAAACATTAAATATTTAAGCTAAATTATCAATTTGCCCTTGCATAATACCTTACCTGGGTGTTCCGTTACGACCTATGAAAACCTATAAAACTCTGTAAATTGTCCTTTATTACCTTGATTTTGTAGTTTTGTAAAATAAAAATAGACTTACGCCCTGAGTAACTTGCCTAGGACGAATATTTGAGGGGTGTAAAGGTCTTTTTATTGTAATTTTGAGGGCGTAAAGGAAATCTATCTCAGTAAATACTGCCTTAGTCCAGTTTTTCAATACTTCCTCGGAAAATGCTGTGAATTCTAAGCACTTTCTTCTTAGGTCATATTTTAATAGCTCAAAAAACAAAAAAGTTATTGTCGAATAAAAAAATAAAAAAATCGTTTTTTGCTTCTCCTGAAAAGTCGTACTTTGTCCTTTACGACCTTTGAGCCCAGAGGTATCGATATACTTATACGAATGAAACCTTAATTTTACAAATGGAACGAATTATGAGTGTATGTATTATCCATTTCGAGAGATATTGAATCCAATACATTATATTAAATCTCCATTGATACATACAGCACTCAAAGTCTTCAGGTCTGATTTATTATAACCATTACTATAATTAGGTACTTTTACTATCAATTGTGGCTTTCATCATGTTTTACTAGCCCAAGCTGCTACTATGAATTAACTTTCAGGTGTTTGGTATAGTCACATCACATTGTGGTTTGCGGCTGCAGTGCCTAAGTGATCGGTTTCTAGCCTCCACTTTAATTACTGTTACCTTTGTACAGAGGTAACGCCTTCCAGCGAAAATTTCCCTTTTTTACAGTGCCACAATTAAAACGTAGACCCTTGAAATTAAAATAGCGCAATCACAGAGCCGTTTAACTCATGAATGTGCTCCCATTTTTAGTGCGCTGTAAACCTCACAAGAGGCACGGGCGGTATTCCAAGTAAATTGAAATTTTTCCTTTTATATGTTAGTGTTGACTGCTATGGTGAGCGCGCGCGGATTAACGGGCTCCCCTCACGCGATCACTATCCCATTCCCATCGCTGTTTACGCCGTATTAAACAATTTGATTCTGATTATAGACCCCGCCTTAACTTTGATTTTCCCGAGCGAAGCGGTGATTTACTCTTTTTACGGTCATAATAATGCGAAATGTGTTTGCTGTCGTAATACAAAATAACAGGTAATGTCTACAAAATACTGTGTCGTTTGACGGTTCCGCCTTAATTGGAGATTTCTTGCGCTATTACGGAAAGGAGGCAATTCTAAACCAAAATAATACAAAGTATACGAGCTGAATAAAGATAATACGACTTAGACGGTACCACTTTTCGTATAGAGATTGCGTTGGGAGAATGTGCGCCAAGCCACCAAAGTAGTTAACTGTGGACATAACTAACACACGAAAAGATTTCACGTTATTACCCGCGCCAGGTAAAGTTCTAAACTAACCTGACCTGACACAAGCGGGCACATTAGATCGCGTTTCGGCTTCGGGCGACCACATGGCGCTCACTCAAGTCCCCACGAGATTGCAAGCAGTTTCCACTAGCACTTAATTTTCCCACCAACAAACGGAAAACATAAACAATGATTTATAATAACAGCCACACAACGCGCCACTTTCAGTTTACTTTTAACACGTACATAATTCACGGCGGAGTCTTTGTCTAAAGGCGAGGGACGTGAGTTGTTTATTTACGTGAGCACAAATGAAAATGTTATTACGCCGGCCTCGACCACGACTCATAGAATAGCGCGCGCTAGATGCGGCAAGTTCAAGGGCGAAAGAGTCTTGATACTTTTCAAAAGTTTTACAAACATTTTTTCAGGGAAATTTTTGTAATTTAATTTTTCCCGCGGCATACCCGGTTTTCCGACACTAACGAGTTCCGCGAAGGGAGTGGAACCGTGAAAAAGGATAGTCTGATGCACAGATGAAAAAATGCATACCAGTTTGATCTCTAATGCGTTTGTTTTATATATCAAGTGATAATCCTCATGATGCGGCAAAGCAGTTAGGCAAACACGCTATGCAAATAGGGTGAACTTGATACTTGGACGGATGCAACCCGACCGCCCATATTGATTACTCAGCCAACTTGGCGGATTCTTGACTTTGACTGAGAGTTGTACAACAATCCGTCTGCAAATTGCTGTATACATAAGATTTAATCTTTGTACGAACACGCTAACAAGGTTAATTATAGCGTTGTGTTGGTATCACTTTCAGTATGTAGCCGTATTATAGAGCTACATTGTAGGCGTTGTTATAGCAAATTGATCAAAATTCTAAAGGTCTAATCTAAATGAAAGGTGTGCTGAGGGGTATAAATTTCATTTAAGCCAGTAATATCGTATCCTGAGCTCGTATAAGAAATTAATACAAAAATCAATGTAACATATTTTGGAAATATTTTGGAACAATAAAACGTTTATCTAAACTTGATATTTTGATTGTTACTATGCCATGCCAGATTAAAGGTTGGTAAGTTACTACTATGCCAAAATGAAATTCAGATTTTTTTCCAGAACTTTAGACAACCATTGTTTAGTTTGAAGGGAGCGTTTTGAAGTCGGTCCTAATTAGTTTCCTTTATTCTTATCGTTACGTGAACTGAGTCTAAAGTCCCTAGAAGTTTTCGCATTGTATTGAAATAAAAAATTAAAAGTACTGTTGTACAGTCGACAGTACTTTAGTGCTTAGCCAGATTGCAAAATAGCACAGCCATCGCTGTTAAAACAGCTATGTAATCTTGATGTGCGTGGGCGAGGCACATAACTCGCAGAATTGATGGCCATTGGGTCAGAAAAGTTTTTGAGTGGCGAGCAGGAAGTCCGTGCTGCGAGCAAATCTCCCACTCGGTGGACCGACGATTGTAATAAAGGTCGCGGGCAGCACCTGGATGTAGGCATGGGACTATTCTCACCTCTCGTTCCCACCGCTGCAACTCCTGAATGGCCAGGATCTATAGCTTGACCGTCAATAAAAACCCAACTAGTGAAGGTCAAGTTTGTCCCGGTAAAGTTAAACTATCATTGGAACCGAAGGAGGAGGAGGAGTTGGAGGAGTTCGAAGTTACGGTTTGACTTCCCACCATTGGATGTAGGCAGTGCAACCCCGGTAGTTGTGGAAATCCTTTTCCATCTGTGAATGTCATTTTTCTGAAATGCATAAACGAAGCTTGCTGTGCTGTCATACCTGTTGCTTAGTGATATAGATGGGCTTGTTGACGATGACCCACGTGACGGTCTCGAAGCAGGCGGGCGCGGTGGTGGAGCCGTCGTACGTCATATAGTAGTCTGTGTCCGGCAGCAGGCCGCGGACTGACAGCTTATTCACCGGCATCTCGGCTCCTGGACATCAACATCATCATCATCATCATCATCAGGTCATGTAGTCTTCACTGCATGGCCCTTTATGTTATCATCATGAGGTGAGTAAAGAGCCAGCCCACTCTAATGTACCAGACAAATCGAAGATTTGGCCTTATTACTTTTACGTCTATATGAACAGATAATTAGTTAAACAGAAATAAAATTATTTCAAAATAAGCTACAAGTTGCATCAGATAATAAAAAATATAATTATTTGTCTATTATTATAAGTCTGTTAATGTTTCACCGTATGTTTTCCGACCAAAATAAAATAATAATAACAATTATTTTTAAAAAATATATAATTTATTTACACAAAAATTAAATTAATATTTATGAAAAAAAAAAGTACGTTCAATCATTCATTCACTCGTTTTCATTATAACGATCCAAGTATCGGACGGTCAGTCGTTGTCCAACCTCCGCTGCGAACGGACGTCTAAAGTGTTAGTGAAGTGATAGTGTTAAAAAAGCGTTATGCTGCTGGTGCGAGTACAGGTCAGTACAATGTAATTTATTGTAATAAAAATTATAAATTAATAAAACTGCTGAATTGATTTTAATATGCTTACATAAACAACATTATTTTTATTCTTGAACTCCAGATTACGAACCAAAACGCGTGCTAAACTAACTTGGTAATATGTTCAGTATGCTGGCATATCAGATCTAAGCTGAAAATGCCGAAATGCTTAGATAGACGTATTCTTACCTCCGTATTTTATATTCTCTAACTCCTCCGTCAATATCCTCAATTCAGGATTCGATAAATCCCCGAGCTGCAACAACACGTAGGTTAACGTTTTGTCCATTCATTTCTACAAACAAGCATCATTAATTTACAGTACTTAACTAATTAGACTACAGTTAAACAACACAAAACTATTTTCCAACAATTAATCGTGAGGGTGATGCTTTGTTTTAGGTCAACAAAAATGACTTGGCGATATAGTTTACGGCGCTCATTTAGTTCTTAATTTGAACTAATAGCTTTAGCGGGTAATCCAATGGGGCGCAGAAAATTCCAATTTCCTTAATTAACCTGAGTTCGGGCGAAGGCAACTGAAAGGTGCGGCTTGATGCCGTTCTATAACATCAATTACACGAAGTGCACCACCAATTTTTCGAACTTGCAAATCACGGTAATACAAAAAACTTAAAATCTTTCATGGTATGATTACAGATGCTATAATTATTACAATATACACCTGAAATAAATTGTTGCTTTTGCATACTGAAACTAATAAAAATACCAACACTAACTAATAACGAAACTAATAATACGTTTGTAACAAAACTTTTAATATTCCACTCGTGGGACTTTATCAATTTACCTGTAATAGTAGCGATATTGACACGATACCCTGAGCTTTGTGTAGAGCTTCGGAGAAGTTTGAATATAGCTGCGAATTGAAACCGAATATTTGGATCTGTAACAAACAAATTGAGTCATATGTAGGAAAATGAAGTGTGAACGCTTTGTACGGGATAACGTACGAGTGCGTGGAAAAACGCGTGATTTTCGCTTGGAATTTGTCACATAAATAAACAGAGGCGCGCTTGAGTTGTTCGTCGGGATTACATTTGGGATTTGAGCGTCTCGGTCTGGGCTCGGCGAGGCTGTGCGTGCGAAAACAGCTGTTACGCGCTTTACACGCTCACGAACAGCCACTGATAACATTTTGATGGCTGCTCAGACAATTGTTGCTTCGTTTTACGTGTTTTTGCAAGGAGATTGCCTAAAATCAGTTTTGTGGGAATTGTCAATATGAATTGTTGAGTTCAATATTTTATGTAAAATGTAAAGTACTGTAACTTTGTAAAGATAAGCCTATTAGCTAAATGCTGTCCATAGCTGTAATCTTGCAAAGTTTCATCACAATCTGTTTAGTAGTTCTTGCAAGAAGGATTACCAAATATCCATTCATCGATCCACACTTGCCTTTGTTCAAATTGCTAGATGTAATAGTAAATTTTAAGTTACATACTGAGATATACCTATAGATTTCCAATTAGACCAAGTCAGTATTCTGAATATTTCATCAATAAAGTGATTGGTATTTGTATTTACTATTCATGAGTGCGTCTGCAAGCAATTAACAGTACACGTACTGGGTTGTTTACATAGGTACTTGGAATCTATAGCCTTATACTATTAGGACACAGAACAGCTTACCTAATTTGATTCCCAAAGGTAGTACAACAAAACTTTATGAATGATAAATTAATTTGCCGAAATTATGACATAGCAGAGCTTTATTAAATTTGTGGTGCGAAAATTGTAATTTATTATCAATGAAACTGTATCGCTAACAATGCTAATTAGTCTAAACTAGTTTACTAAATATGCTTTAAATAGTATTATTAGCTTTGTCATCATCAAAACACAATTAAAATATATTTGTGTACGATGTTTTTAACCGCGATTCATGGACTGATCGTCATTTGGTGCTAATTAAAATACTCGTGTAACTAAATGAGATATCGATACAAATAGCAACTAATTCTGTGTTACTCTAATCTGAAAAAAAAATCAGGTGAACTACGTAGCTCCTTCTTCATCATTATCATCATTTAAACCATAGGACGTCCACTACTGAATATAGGCCTCCCCCAATGATTTCCACTATGGCCGGTTGGTGGCGGCCTGCATCCTGATGCATGCATGACGTAGTTTCTTTCCTTCTCCAAGTACATATTATGCCTATACAAATTTTTATGGGCTTCTAAATCTATCTTTGACTGGGAAGTGGAATATCGTGACTGACTCAGATTAGTCTCTGCTTTTCAGTAATTTTTTGTCATAAATCTTACGTACAAAATCTATGGGCAATTATTTTGTAACTACGAGTACATAGGTACCTAGTCAGTGTAAGTCATACAAGAGTTATAGTATCATACAAGAGTTATAATACCTACCTCTGCAGGGAAGGAGTATCCATTGATGGCGTGTTCGGATCCGAACTGGTCGTGGAGTCCATAATGTATGTGGATCTCGTGGAACTGGTACTTATAGGACAGCGGGCCCCCGGTGATATTGATGTGGTGCCGCGTTTCATTCTCCACCGTGAAGATCACAGAGTGACCCGTGTTCGTTATCAATCCATTTATCTGTTTAAAAACAGGGACATAAGAATCAAAATTCAATACGTTTCTTTTTAGGAGACTTCAAAAAAGGGGATGGTTCTAAATTCGACTACATATATGATTTTTTTAATTTAATAGATTATTTCCCTAAAACTTCATAATGTAACAAACAAAAAGTGACAGATATTTGTTTTTACTATACAAAAACGCTATATAAAAGCACTTCAGTCCACTGTCATGAAAAGAGCCCTTTAGGATTGCAAACAACCCGTCTCTTTAATGAACTTCAGTAGCAAGCAATGGCTTCATTAAAAATAATTAAAATTACAAAGAACAACACTTCTCGCTGAAATAAAATGAAACACTTACATAATCATAGCGTAAACAGATTGTATAATGATACAAACGTGTATTAATAAACCAAACAATTGTAGTGCTAGTTAATTCAATACTAACTAAGCTGTATGTGCAGTATACTAATTTTGGCTTACAGTGCAGATTGGAATTTGTTAACACTTTCTATTTATAACATTATGTATGTGTAGAAAATAAATTTACAAATTAATAAAGCAAACAGTCATATTTGAAACTAGTAGTCTCTAAAAAATAAAACCTACCTACCTAATAACTATAGAGATAGTATATTCAATACACGACGGCGATTAGCTATGGACACAATAGCTTCGTGAAGGGACATGCTCCGGAAGACGTGGCACGACCTTACCAAATTGGAGCTATGACCTCGAAGGTCACCGGGGCACGGGGAATGTGGATTGTGGACTAATGAATATTGAAAACATTACATAATCGCCGATATTAGAATGAAATTAGTTTTCATTAGACTACTGAAAAAAAGCCTTTTAAAGTTTGATGTCAAAAAAGTCTTCCTTCTCGGGCTTAGAAAGCTCACAGCTATCTATTTAGGTATTATATCAAAGTAAAACAAGCCTATAAATGGGGCATTTATAGGCTTAGACATAGGCCTTTTTTGCCCAGTTGTTTTCGTCATTATCAGAAATTAATGCCTATGGAAGGTAGCCGACTATTTGATGATAACGGTTTCTAAATCGTCATGCTTATCTCTATCATGCCCTGGATGGATCAGTAGAGGGATGCTTTACTAAACTTTTAGTTTGTTGTTATCAAATTGTGAGCTTCAAATCAAAATATAACTACTTATTAAAAGACATCTACTTTTAAGATACTTTTAAGTTATCGCTAAATTCGCTTTGCTTCTTTTAGCATTTTTGTTATATTAAATAAATATTAAAATACCTTACCCTATGTTTATCTATGTGTAAAAATCGCAAGTTGGGATCGAAGAGCAGCTTGTCGGGCTCCAAGTTGACTGGCGACTGCCGCCGGCCTTTGTTGCACAGCGACCATTCCGGGTTGATCAGGCCCCAGAAGGCTGGACCTGCACAAATAGGTACACATGTATTTACTGCGGTACATCAAGGTAAACACTAAGGCTGAGTTGCACCACCTAACTTTGACGGTAACTATAACGATAACCGGTGCTTTTTGTATGGAGTTTGACAGATTTTTGGCGTTTGTCAAAGTTCAAGTAAGATGGTGCAACATCTAATACAAGTTTAGGTCGCGAAACGAGAGTTTAGGCCATCAACACAAGCAAATATTTTTATTCATGATGCGCTGACGTCTTGCATAGTTGGGCTGACAAGGGCTTTCTGTTTCGTTTGCAGACATTTAGCAAGAGCAAGGTAGCCTCTAATATAATTCGATATTTTGAACTGTGGTGGTTTAAATTACGCTATCAAGTTAACACCTTTGCTGCGGCAGTAACTTTCTAATACTTTCCATTCCTTCGGTACAAGGTCAATAAACCTGGTATTAAAACTTACATTGTGGCGGCACAAGGCTTAAAGACCTTGTAATATTTAAGATATATTAATTTTATTTTTGGCTTCATGTTAATAGATATTGTGTTTTTTTTCTTTGAATATTAATAATAATGCATTTATTGACATACACCTGAAGGCGTTCGTGAATAACTTGTTTAGTATATAAATTATAGCTATATTCAAAATACAAGGCTTATGCACCCTGTGCCGCACTGAAGTAGGAAAGTCTGGTGAGTATTCTAGGGATGTGAAATACAAATATCGATAGTTTTAATTAAGTTTTAATAAAAATTTAAAAAAGTTACAAACAAAGATGTTTTAATAATTTAGTCTAAATATTTTACAAATAAGACATACGTGCATAAATACTTAAATAAGCTATATTTAAACAAAACATATTATTTAATAACATTTAGTTACAACTTCAAATGTTTGTCACGAAAAACTATTTAAATTAGCAATAAATCGTGTAGAAAATTAAATTATAATCAATTTGCAGTTTTGATTTTGTTTGTTTCTCTTGACGCCATGTCGACATGTGCGTTTCTTACGAATGCGAGGCAACACTGGCTGCACGAAGCTAGCGTGGGGTGCGGTACCAGGTGCGCAGGGTACAAGGTGCTTCGACCTGGTTTCGCATTGTGAAGACATTTTATTACTTCCGTGCGGTACCAGGTCTAAAAACCTGGTATTAAGGTAGGTACATCATTGGATTCTATTTTAAGAATACATCATAGATATATATTCATCACTTTCCTACACCGGACCCAATTGAAGTTATGCCTTTCGCACGACAAGGAAGACTATAATTTTCTTAGCCGCACGGTAAGCGAGACGTACACAAGGTCTATAGACCTGGTTTCGCACTCAACGTGTTAACTGTTCTTATTCGCAGTCTCTTGGCATTATCCCAATTTTTGACAAAGCTTAATATAATATTCTTATTTTGAAGTTACTTCTTGTTCATCCATCTTTACCAACTGCAAACTAATCTACCATCGAAACACCTAGGTCTTAGGCTGTAATATACCACAGCACATTTCGATTGTAATGAATAATTTAAAGCCATAACTAGCGTCTGCCCGAGGCTTACAGCGCTGAATTTGATCTGTCATTCGGCCGCAGAATGACTTTATCGCGCCGCCCTGGGACACGTAATAATCCGAATGAGAAGTGTACTTATGTCTTCTCATCTTAGCTTCAAGATGTTATTGGTTGGGGCGGACACATTCATTAGTACTTAGTACGTATACCTCCTACATATCTATAATATTGTTTTCATAGACTCGTACAGGGGTAGAGATGTCCCTTGTTGGATAAAAGTTATACAAATAAACCGTGTTTTTAGATCGATGATCTCGATTTACGTGCGGATTAAGTGTTTCTTGTTTTTGGCCTAAGTAGTAAGTCTCGTAGCCTAAGCAATGCACCTTATTAAAAAAAATGCTAATTAATTGCTGCAACCACAAGAAAATCCCAGAAGATCAGAACCATAAAGTCTTTGTCTAGGAAATCTCTACATATTGATCAAAGAAGAAAGCAGTAAATAGACAAAACATCCCTTTATGTTCGAACATTAATATTGGTACCTAATTCACCACCGTAAAATCAATACAAAACAAAAAACAAATCCAACATTCCAGCCTAATGAACTTACACTTATTAACTTGATAGTTAAAACCACCGCGCGTTAATTACGAGCGGCCATCGTTCATCCATCAGTCGCCTTTCATACTTCATTATTTTCATTTCTACCCAATGAATACATTATATAAAACAAATAATAATAAATCGTACATTTTCAAATGCCATCCCGAACAGCAGTATTAATTTGTACTAACTTAAAACATGAAAGTTTCGCCGGCCATCGTGTAACAGTGGGCTCTACGTGAAGTGACGTAAGTGCAAAAAGGCTTTTTTCTATTAGCCTCTATTAAGGACCTCTATAACTATAACTCTATTTAGGTGAAAAGTTATTTGAAAATCAATATAGTACCATTGGTGTTGATGAAATCCTCACTTTTTCATTGTTTTCTATTTACTCGTATTCCATAGTATTGATCAAATGATGTGGTGTTTGTAAAATAATATCCGCCCAAAATTGGCCATTTTGCACTTACACTGTTTTGCGCAGACTGTCAATACACAGGATTATGCTGTGAACGCTGCTCATGTTCATTATATCAGATGGAACAGAATATGAACATGTTTATAGTTCTGACAATAACCTTATTTCAGCTTATTTGGTTAACATTCCACATTGTTAATTACGCGATTTTACAGTTAAGGTACTAATTAAGCGGTGTAAAATAATATAACTTTGCTTTTTAATATTTTTTGTTTTGGCAGTGCCTGTTTAAGCAACACACTCTACTCGTACGAATACAAGAGATATTGCTACCTAAATTAATGCGTTTTGTTCTTAAAATCCACGTAAAAGTACGACCTGAATCATGTATTGGCCGTTTTCGTTACCGGCGACGGGGCAAGTTTGCCCGCAACGTTCGTTCGAGGTATTTCAATATAGGGCCGCGCGAAAGTAGCCAAAGTGCTTCATGGTTTTATTATTTATGACCTTGAAAATTGCATGAGTAAGCCGGCGCAGCGGTTGCGGTCACGCCCACTTTATGGCCACGCGTTAAGCGAACTTACCATTACCATTATTGCAAAGCGCTTTTTTTGCTTTTGGCACTACTTTAGGAGGGAATTAGGTGAAATTGTCTCTTCTTTTGTTTTATACGCAAAAGTAGAAATAAGTAGCGGCTTAAACGAGTTCCTTTAAACTCTTTGTTGAGTAGATTTATTATGGTGCTCTACAGTTTGTAGAAAACAGCGGAACTATTAGCATACATTTCTAAAAACTTACAGCTGCTCGGGATTAGGTTTAAGGTGAAATTTAAATGTTTTGCGCGTTGTATTGTACTTCTACGAACTCGCAATACCATTACACATTATTTTTATCAAACAAAGAAATGAACATCAACTTAGACACTAGCTTTTTCTTGCGGTTAAGCCCTCGTATATTTAAACAAATGGTAGCTCTTGTGCTAATCAGATCTTAAATTAGTGCTTATAAATACAAAATTTCTCATTATAAATATCCAAAAAGATCCATCCAGTAGTTGACGTCAAGAATAACAAATTTTCATCCGTCTTCCTTAACTTTCGTGTTCATTACATTAAAAATGTTACTTTGATGTAACCTACTCTACTTTTAAGGCAATGACATCTTTTTTAGACTAATTAGTAATTATTAAAATTGAAAAAATATTTTATGAATTAAAGATTCGTTTGTAATAAGTAGGGGGAGGCTGAGGAGAGTTGTAACAGAAGTGAATTATCACAAAACCGATTTCTCTGCGCCTGTGACAGTTAGCGAGCTGACAGTTTTACGCAAACTGTGGAGTGTCAAAAGAACAACGAATTTGCGATGTTGCTGGCTCCATAAATAGCGTAATGTTTAGAAATTTTTTCTTTATTACAACCTACCTCTGTTACTAACGCCCGTATTCACAAACGTTACTATGAGGTCTTACAGTGCGCGTGGACCCACCGGGTGACACATGAACAAATCACAAAGCTTCACTTAAACAAGCATCGTTAGTGAGTACGGGCGTAACTCTCCTCGGACTCCCCTAGGTATGTCCTAAAAATGCTTCAACGATTCGACTTGTCGCATAACGTGAGCCCTAATGAGATCACTAATGCCCGTGAATATTTCAGCGAACGCGACCGCACGCAAGCGCACGTCACTCGCCAGAACTCTGCGCTACACGTGATTGGACAAGGTAAGTTTTCTTTTTCTTTGATTTTATATAGTTTTAGTGAGTTTTCTTGTGTTTGTTTATTTTAGTAAAACTTCCGAGAAAAGTTAACTCACTAGTTTATTTAAGTAGTATCTAAACCTATGTATCGCTCACTCTCTAAAAGGTTAGGTATGTTTATTTATTTATTTATTTGTTAAGTGGGTTGCAGTCTACGATGGTACATAATATCTGCCCTGTAAGTGCCTATTCACTCTCGCCTTGAAATTCATAAATAAATAAAGGTTATTATCACACCTGTGATTATAATTATTTTAATTATTTTATCTGGCAGTATGACTATATACGACGCGCTTGTTAAAATAATGTGATATGAAGTCAAATTTCTACCTGCGCTTGCAAATTATTCGTAAAGTGCTCATAGATTTAAAACTTTTTTGATACCTCTAACTTTTACGTTTCGGTTTTTTCAGTCTAGTGAACATTCAGCATTTCAAAGTTTCCTAACATATCGGGCAATAAACATTATGTATGATCGAACACAGGTGAAATAGTTCAAAGTCGAAGTAAATTATGTGAAAGTGAAACCTCAGTCAGCACCAACTAGGGATATTAGAAAAAATATACACCTGAATAACTTTCATCTTTACTTTGACTTACTTTGACCTTTACTGAATCGGTTATCTAGACAATTCAAAAATCTAGTAAGTTTAATAATACGTCTGATTGCAAAACCTACTGCTTTTCAGTAATATTTTTATCGTTTCTCACGAAAATAGTTCACATAACCGTTGTAACTATTTATATAAAAATATTACACAAAAAAACCTCAAGAATTCAAGAAAAGATATGTATAAGTAAGCCGGATGACACGATAACGCAACTCAAATTTGCTAGTAAAGGTAATACGATGCATGATAAATCGCCCGTATAAATTCCACGTCACGTAAAACTGGCAAAATGTTATCGGCCAGAGAAATTGATACGCTCACAAACGAATGTTCTGCGGCCCGCCACATTGATGCAATGAATTTTTATTCACATTCTTATAAACGTTTATACAGGGCGTCCCTATAATGGCACAACAGTGTATTTGAGATTTACTACCAAACTTTCAGAAAATCATAACATGTTTCAATTGAAAGTTGTATTAAATAGGAGATGTGTGATTTAATTATATGATTTATTTATCAGTTAGGTACACTCTAAAATATGAATAATCTTGCCTGTTCTTATTTATAACCAGTATTAGTAGCAAATGAAATGAGACTCGGATAATCTGTATCCTAAACTACCTTCTACCAGACCCATGTTAGTTTATCTGAAAGGTCAATAGCTAAGCTATTTTCAGATTCAGCCTGTGACGCCGCGACGACGTGCCATTTTTTGGGACAGCCTGTTATATTAATGTCACTAAAATATATAAATACCGTCTCTGTCAATATGACGGGCAAATAACATGGGCCTTTGAACATGAAAATTCTCATTACAGTTATTAACACTGGGATTTTATAATTTCGGTTTAATAATTTGGTGTAGGTAATTATTGCTTGATTGCTTTCACATTTGGTAGCAATACCGACCTAATGAGGGCAGGTAATCTTGATCTGACAATCACTTAGCCCATCTAAGACCACGTATTACACAGTCAGCTGGGTCAACCACAAATTGGTGCTGAGTTGAGCAATTACGTTCAAACTGCATTATTGCAGCCATACATAAGCTGCATAGAGAGCAGTGGCTGTATAGCGCTCACCTGAAATCCCGTCGTAGGTCCACCATTCCTCCCAGCTGACGCCACTCACGGCTGCAATCAAACCAAATCTAATTAAGTCTGCACAATTCTCATTATGAACATTAGCACTCGTCACTTTTACTCGTGGCCACGTATTAATTTTGGGTAAAAGATAATGAAACATGGGAATGTATTTGGAAATGAAGTTACGTAAAAATTTACAATGCTATACAGATTGTAGGAATACCTACATTTTCTGCAGTGAAGCTTATCGTGTTTCACATAAAGACAAACAGTTAAGTAAATGAAGCAGGTTATGCCAGTAACTTTCGAAATGAGTGTTAAGTAAACGAACATAATTATTATGAGAAATATGAAGTTTACGTATTCGTTTTGTATAAGTATTTTGTACAGCTTTAAACATTTCGAAGTCGAAGTAAGTACCTATTTAATTCCCTTAAAGCAAAGATACTAATTGTTCAGTCTGAAAGATTTTCGCCATCTATGTAGTAAGATTTTGTGCCAGTATTGTTTTCCAGCACAAAGACTTATTTTTACTTTTAAAATAATACTCGAATCAAACGATCAATCGAAGTGCCATTTATTGTTCTTGACTTCAGTTTTATCTTTTTACATTTGCCAACTCAATGAAAATGAAATCAATGGGCCAATGAGTCGGAAGATCGCTATTCTTTAGAAACAAAACGTTCCTTGAAAAGAGCTCCGACAACGTCACTTTTCAGCAAGAAATTTACTGGACAAACGGTAAATATAGCTTTCAGAAAGCAATTCATATTTCTCAAGGATACCTACTAATGATTTCCGAAGTAAAATTTGTTCATCGTTAAGATTAATTGACTAGAGCGAGATATAAAATGATGCGTAACAAATTACCGATACTATTGATACGTTATTTAGGTTTCGAATAATAAGGCCTAAAAAGTAAAAACAAAAGTAAAAATTGTAAAACAGTAACATAGACTATTAAATTGTTATGCCTGATTTCAATAAAAATTTTATCGCACAAATTGACTTAAACACTCAACCAAACACTTTATTAAATTGCTGACTATTCGTGGCTATAAATTGTTAATTATACTGTAACTAATTGCCTCATGAGTAATTGTTACAAAACACGATACGTTATTCGTCAAACTAATTTGCATATAGCGTTCGTTGAACAAACAATTTAAAAAATAAGCCATGTAATGATTTCACTGAAATTTCAGTATAATTATAAGATAAAGCACTCAGTCGGGGTTCTAAGGGCATAATTATTGGAGCCCAAGATGAAAGCTACTTCAAACTCATTCATCATGGATGTTAGTGCAGGATTTTTTTCCTAACAAGATATCGATTCAATCTATGCAATATCGAAGGTAATTACAATTCCAAAATTTACCAGCTCCCATTTTACAATTCTGAATTATACAACACGGTACATATAAGTTTTATTTTACGAGTATACTGTGATTCGGACGATATTTTAAAATGAAAATTGCCCAACATCGATAGTTATGAAATTGATAAAGTTAATAAAATGTTAACGTGATCCGGTAAATTCGCAAATTACTCCAAAGAAAAAATTTCATCTCAAAGTAAAAATGAAGTCTTGTTCTTAATTAAATCTCGTTAAAAACTATCAAAGGCAACATAATAAAAAACTGCGATGTGCTTTTCATATATTCATGTGCAAGATCGAACTAAACGACAGTCAATTCTTCCAGTTTCTCAAAATTTCCACAACAACAAAAACCTAACTGAAACAATAGAAAGTCACAGCGGAAAACTGTAGCGACACAACATTAACCGAAGTGCAGTCGAAATACAGCTACCGATCTCGAAACTTACTCGATACACGCCTGATTTATGTTTTTAATTTAAATTTTTGCATCCGCCAGGCGAAGTTCGCCGCGGACGCGCCGCCTGCATCACAAATATACGTTACACTAGGCCAGGGGCCAGCACTGTACATGACATTATTTGTCAAGCAATTCTGTTGTTCTGAGGCCTGCAAGTTTGTGAGGGCTAAGTTGATAAGATGAGAGCTGACTTCAAGAGAATAGCTAGATCATTATCGTCCGTAGTACAATCTTGATGTTTGATGAAATCACTTGAAAGCGAATTTGGCTCACCTAAACATTATTGTCTACCTTACTTGTTTAAAAGTCATGGGAGAGCTTATAGGAAAATCAACACTACGCTGCTAGTTTTAACGCCTTTTCTTTCATATTTCACATTTAATTTCACAAATACAAATGACAACAAAGCTAAACAACTAGTTAGTTAACTAGCCCTTGCACCAGAGCGTTCGGCTACAGTGCCATTCGATACGGCTTGAACGAACTGTCGACTTTTAATCTTTTAATGCTACTCAACGAACTTCAACGACGGGGCACGCTTCCGCTTATTTAAAATATCGAGCCACGTGAAACAGTGCCGATTTTTTAAGTCCCAATTGAAAAGAGCCTAACTGGCTTTTGTGGATTGGAGAAATGACGTGAGGCTGTATTTTTTGGATGTTATCAGCTTAAACCGATTTCAGGCCATATACTATTGTCCTAGGCTTTTTAGTAAATCGTAAAGTTTGTAAATCAGTACATTATTATGTTTTTTTTTTTAATTCAGTGAAACGAAACATTTAATGTCAATAATATCAGTCAACATAAAAACATAATGACTTCGCCATCGCAGGCTGACATTTCTAGCATTTTCTAATAACGCTACAGAAATACAGAACTGTATCACTGAATACACGTTCGTGAGTAGGATAACGTCGGAAGCATAGACAGTAGTAAGCAGTAAGCACTAAGCAGAGCTCAGTGCGCCCTACGGCAACTTAACCGGCGCGCGCCACACCTGCTCAATCTATGAGTTACTGGACTTTGGAATAGATGCCCTACGTCATAAGGATTAAACCTGTGCTTGGACTGCAGAGTATTCGAGTATTACAGCGCTTGTAGACGTCCGTTTTTTCACCGGACGACGGACCGTCAAAAAACGGATATCCTTTGTTTGCTGTCAATTTTCTCGCCGGACCTATGTCCGATACATGTGCACACGTTCATTATAAACCATACGCCACCGCTAAATCCGGTGAAAAAATCGGGCCGTTGTCCGGTCAAAAAAACGTACGTCTACAATAGCTCTAAAGTTCGGACAAACCAACGCGTGCAGCGATGGCGATGGCGATGGCGACCACTGCGCGTGCAAAAGTTGTTTCACACTGCCGCGACCGCGATGGCGATCACTGCGCGTGCAGGTTGTCACTGTCACGCATATTGTCATTCACGCCTATTCGGCAAAATGGAAACTGAATTAAATGATTTGTTTGGAGCTTTTGATGCAATTGAGACAGTGGAAACACGTTTTCACTCAAGTTTATTCAGGCGGCATTTATAGAATGAGACAGGATTACATGCGGTATAGGTAGTAGGTATTGGTTATTCATAACCAAGCTATATTTCTGGCTTCGTTTGTAGTCCCTAGAGCCCTAACAATACCTTTTAATTAGATTTAAAGAAAGGTTTGATAGGAAGGAGGACTGCACTAAGGCTTTCTTGGCCTCAGTGGGGGAAATGAAACACAACGCGGACGGTTGATATCTGGTTTATTACTGTTATGCTATTGCTATATCAAGATTTACATAATGTACACAATTCAATGTGTCCAGTCCAATGTGCCGTCGGTGTAGAGTGCTTAAGGTGCACGTTCGTTCAGGGNTGATCAAATAGGTGTTTCTAGTGGCACTAAATTAATGACTGAGACGTTTGATGACTTTAATTAGGTTTTTATTTATGGCATAGGTACTTAGAATTGCTCTAGGGCCTTTGAGAAAGCTGCAGACATGTACATTATCAATTATTTTGTTCTGCAGATAATATCCCAATTTTATTTATGAAGTTGAAGAAGCAGGTTCTCGAGAAAACTAGAATAATTTGTTTATTTCCAAAAAATAAATTCTGACATTGATACTTTATTCTAAAACCTTTTTATTATTCAAGTAGGTCAGACTAGTGGTATGTTATGAATAATTCATTTTTAATTGTGTAAAAACTTTTTAACAGATCCTACTTACTATTTATTACATCGATTTAAAAAAACAGAAACGTCACAGTGACAAATGTCGCGATGATCGCTGATCGCTGCGTGCAGACGCTGCATAGATCGCCGCGACCAATGACAGGACGCGTTGATGTGAACTCATCGCTACAAATTCATACACGCTGTCTGGTCGCCATCGCCATCGTCATCGTGCACGCCGGCTGCACGCGTTGGTCTGGTCTAACCTTTAGGCAAGCAGAGTTTGGCTTGGATGGTTGGATCTTGATCCATTTTCTTTATAGGACTTAAGAGGTTCTCTCTCTTAAAATTGTCAAAATCATCTTATACCTACGTATATAAAAAACTGCTGTTCCTACGTGTATAAAAAAAACTCTATAATACGTTGCCATAATGTTTCACTTTGTTGTCTTAAAAAAAACGTTTAATGTAGTCTCTGCTTCACGTTGCGCAAATATCCAATAAAGCCTCAATTCAAAAATGAACTAATTAATCAGCTACGAGCAAATCTCTAAATGGCTAACGGAACCCTTGCAGACCTACACTGCACCACCTGCGCTACAGTTATCCTTTAAGTCTACTAAACACCAGAATGAGGTGCGCCTAGGTCATTTTACTTGGGTAAAATTAAAACCGTGTATTCAATTCCGGGTAATTGTTCCAAAATGTCAAAAAAGGGGAAAATGGACCTTTCCAAACTACATACATAATGGCCTTTATCGAAAGAGTAGGTACTATTTAGGTGCATACTATATTTAGAGCTCTTACGGAATATTTTATATTAAAAAATATCAAAGCATCATTATGTCAATCAGGTTAATGAATAAAGTTTCGCTAAATACTTTTAACTGGTGATATTAGGGAATGGTTTCTCTACCAAAGCGAAGGTGTGTGATATATTTGAAGAAATCTATTAGAAGTTGACGAAGTTTATTGATTCACAAATACACGTGACAATAGCGATACTCAACAATCGAGTATATGTGTGGGTAATACCTTTATCAAAACAA